GAGGAGGAGGTGGCCAAGTGGAGGGGCGCGCCCCCAGAAGCCCAATCCGAATTGGGAGGGGGTGGCGGCCCCCTTTCCTTCTCTCCCTCTTCCCTTTCCTTCCCCTCCTAGTTGGATTAGGAAAGGGGGGAACCTACTCCTAGTAGGAGTAGGATTCCCTCCCTTGGGGTGCGCCCCATGAGGCCGGCCGGCACCCTCCTCCACTCCTTTACATACGGGGGAGGGGGGCACCCCATAGACACACAAGTTGATCTTTAGCCGTGTGCGGTGCCCCCCTCCACAGTTTTCCACCTCGATCATATTGTCGTAGTGCTTTGACGAAGTCCTGCGTCGGTGACTTCATCATCACCGTCAACACGCCGTCATGCTGACGCTACTCACCCTCGGCCTCAACTGGATCAAGAGTACGAGGGACGTCACCGAGATGAACGTGTGCAGATCGCGGAGGTGCCGTGCGTTCGGTACTTGATCAGTTGGATCGCGAAGACGTTCGACTACATCAACCGCGTTACTAAACGTTTCCGCTTTCAGTCTACGAGGGTACGTAGATACACTCTCTTCTCTCGTTGTTATGCATCTCCTAGATAGATCTTGTGTGATCGTAGGATAATTTTTGAAATACTGCGTTCCCTAACACTACGGGGCACGAGAGGACGCGCGCATGGGCTCGCTAGGCTCCTGGAAGCACCAGGAGCTCGTTGCTTGGCTCAGGCGGAAGGTTGCAACGACGGTTGTCACAGCGGCGATCTCGGGCACGACGGTAGCTACGGCTAGGGGCGACGGGAGGCAGCGCTAGGAGAGGGGTTCTACGCGTGGGCTCACCTGGATCCTTTAGGGGTGCAACATGGGCTCAGGGGAGGCTTGACAGGGGCGAATCAACGGTGAGGTCCGGCTGCGTCAGAAGGTTGGAGGTGACGGCGGATTCGGCGAAGCAGGGGCACCCAGCTCCGTCGGGTGGCAGTAGTTGATGCAGCAAAGGCCGGTGGAGCTCGTGGATAAGGTGGCGTGGCGCGGGGAGGCAAGTGGCTACACGCACAAGCGAGCGGAGGTGACGACAGAGGCAGCAATGGTGTGGGAGGACGAAGCGGTGCGAGAAGGGGGGAAGATCTTGCGCGTGTCCCCTAGGTCCATGGTGGAGTTCTTATCCACCCGCGGGCACCTGTAGCAGCGCGGGCGGCGAGGTGGCTCGACAGGGACGGGCATGGGCGCTCGGTCGGCCTCATGTAGCGGGAGGTTGAAGGTGAGGTGGTGGGTGGGCTGGGCCTGTCCCTACGTACTAGAGCTTAGCTGAACAGGTGAGCTCTTTTCTCTTGTTTTTTTATTCCTTTTCTATTTTGCATTTCTTTTTAGTATCAAAAGAGTTTTGTAAAATATGGAACTTGGCCACTTAATTACATTGTAATATTTGGCACTGTCACAAAAAGTTTGAGAGGTAATTGAATTTGTCTGAATTTTTCATAAATGGAAAAGCACTTAAAAATATGCTGATTTGGCACTGTTTAATTGCTATAGTCCATTTAAGCAAATAAGTGATGTTGTTTTCCTTAACAAATAATTGTTATGAAATATTTTTCTAAATGATGAACTATTTTGCAATCATGTTTGTGAAACTTTAAATTTCACTTGCAATTTGAATTGATTTCAAAGGTGGAGTTTCAAATGAGATTTGAATCCGTAGTGATCAAGCATGGCAAAGCAAAGTGACCTAGCATATTCATGAGGATTACTGTAGCTTAATACATGGGAGTGTTACAGTCATAGAAAGAGATACGACGACTAATGGGACTCGGGCCACCCCTCGTTGGCACGACGGTGTGACGGCCGTGGATGCATCCGCTTCCCCACCCGTGTGCGGGCGGTTGCTGCTCCGGCGATGTTTTGAGGTGGGGCGAATGCTGCGGTTTCGTTGGTGGAGTGTGTCCCCTTTTGACCAAAGCCGACCTCTTTGGGATGGTCTTGGGAGTGTCTGGATGTTGGGCAGCGGCCTTGGCGGCGGGAGGCATGGCGTTTCTAGGCGGAGTGTGTGTCTCAGGTGTGGGCGGGCAGCCATGGCCACGCGGGTGGCTTGGTTGTGAGTGGTTGGCGGAGTTAGGGTCGGACCGATAAGTGTGCATGTTGTTAGAATAAATCTGAGGCTACCACTGCCCATCTGAAGACCAAGCAATCACACGAGCATGACACCGAGATTTGTTAATGAGGTTCACCGATATGGCTACATCCCCGAAGCCTGACTATGGGCGCTCCTTCCCATGACACCGCTATAATACCGCATACAATCGCCCTGGACACCGGCACATGCCGCCGGCTTCCCCTGCGTTCATATGCTATTATGTTGGCATATATTACATTGTGTGTCTACCCTCTCATTATATAAGCGAACTAGGATATAAGTGTCCTACTTAGACACGACTCAATATCATATCTAAACACAATACAACTCAGAGTCTAACTATAACATATCTTGTACACTATATTTGACACAACTCTAACAAACTCCACCTTGACGAAATAGATGGATATGATATAAACGATTTTGGCATTCAAATATACTCTAAAAAGTATGCTTAAAATCCACTCATCACGAGATGGGAGGCCACCGGCACTCAGGTCCGGGGAAGACCGCCACTCCTCCCCTCCCGTTGAAGGTAAACTTGTCGAGCTCGTCATCGTCGACCGATTGACCGCTTGTAGGTTGCAAAGGCAAAGCTTCATTTTTCAGGCCTCGTGGTCGGACGGACATGAGAAGTGGGTACCGGCGGTCATTTAAACTAGATTTAGGGTACAATTAGTTGAAATATGTCTAAATATAATGAATTTGTGTCGGTTTAGATGAAAAACATCCGGTTTTATGTAAACATTATTCAAATATGAATGAAAATCATTCTGTTTGTTTAAATATGCATTAAATTTGTTCATTTTTAATATATTTCTTTTAAAATGTCCATAATTTATGATTACGATTAAATAACCGACTACTGTATCAATGTCCGCAGACTGTCCCGCTCGGAGGTGTCCGATTTGGGTCAGCGTTGGAGATGCATCCCCAAAAGAACGGGGGATTTGATTTTGTGCCCCTTCTTACTTTGTACTTTGACAATCTGCCACCGGTTACTTTGTCATTGATTTTTTGCCACACGTTACTTTGTACTTTGATATTTTGCCCCTGTCAAATGGGACCCACGATGAAATCCCTAATTTGCCCTTTGCAGTCGATTGAGGATAGCCTCTATACCCATCTCTCGTTCGTCGTCGCCGGCGCTCCGGCGGCCTTCGTCGTCGGCGACTACCTCCCGGCGTCAGCCTTCAAAGACCCTAGATCGGCAGCCCCGTATCCTCGCCGCAGCCAGGGCGGACTGGGGGCCTCCTTGGCTCCTTGGAGACCACCACGAGCAGCCATGGCGGCGCATATAGGAACGTCCATGGCAAACTGCTCCGTGCCTCTGCTTGCCGCCGACCCTTCCAGCCATGCGCCGCTGCTCTCTGCCGCCACGTCCAGCTGCTTGTCCCCGCCGTCCCGTGGTACTGATGCCTGCCGCCACCACGGGCTACTTCTGCTGCTTCTCGTCGGCGCCGCATACTGCTGCTCGCCACCGCTTCGTGGAGCCGTCGCCGGGACCAAGTCGCGACTCACCATGGACGTCGGGAGGTAGCCGGCGACCGTCAAGGACCACCGTGCGCTGCGAGGTAGCGGCTGCTGGCTGCTGCCGCTTCTCCTGTGTCCTGGCATGCATCGGCGTCTAACAGGCACACAAGGGCATACTTGCCCATCGTTTTGTCCATACAATATATCCATCATTTGCAAGTATTGTTTTATGTTAAAAAGTGGCAAAAAATCAAATGGCAAACTAAGGCCGTGTTCGGCAGCCCTCTGCTTCGCGGCTCTGCTCCTGAAGCGGCCAGAGCGGAGCGACGTGCAGTGCAATTTTCTGAAGTTGCAAAACTGACGATCCGTTCGCTCCCGTATTATACGGAGCTGAAGAGCTGCCGAACAAGACCTAAAGAGTGGCAAAAGATCATTTACAATCTAAGCAGTGACAAATTGTTAAAGTCCAAAGTAAGTAGTGGCTGAAAATCAAATCGCCCCGAAAGAACATCAGATTTGGTAAGCATTCACACCGACTTGTCCCTTTCTTCCGTCTCCCGCCGCCTTCGATGACCTTCGCCGGCGCTTCACGCCGCCGGCGAGTATCTGGTTCCCATCCCCCTCTCCCTCTCATAGCCATCGTCCTCCTGCTAGTCTTCCCACCTCCTCCCCGCGCTTACGCGCTCCGCGTCCCACTGCGCGAGGTCGCCTCCCTCCTCTCCCTCTCCCACTCCCTCCTCACCCGCGTCGCGGTCGCCCGCGCCGACCGGGGGGACGCCGCTGCCGCTGCCCGCGCTCGCCGAATCGCCTCGCACCTGTCCATTCTCTCCTCTCGCGGTGCGTGGGCACTCGGCTGGGACTACCTCCGCCACTATGCTTTCTCCTCCGTCACCGGATGCGGCTTCTCCTGCGCCACTGCCGCCGCCCGCCTCCTCGCCGCTGCGGCGGAGGCCTCGCGCCTAAAGTCACCGGTCGAGGCGGCCCAGTGGCTGCGCCGTAATTACGGTGACCTCCTAGCCGCCGCTACTCAGCTCCTAAACGGCCTCCTCTCTACCTTCTCCGAGCAGGTACATGATCTGGTCTTCTTCTGCTTTCTTTAGAAATGACTTGGTCCCTAGGTCATCCAACGGACCATATTGCAGCAATGATCAGTCGGTAAATTTTTGTACGCTTGTGTTTAGGGGCCGCTAAGGGAGGTGGTGTTGGATGTGAAGTGGGAGGTGGAGGAAGGGGGGTTGCTGAAGGATTGCCTTCAGGCGGGAGCCAAAGACTTGGAGGGCTTGCTTATCATTGCCAAAGATCTCTTTGGTGCTTCAAGGGCTTCTTCACGCCACAGTGAACTCTGAGGTTTGCTCACACCTTGTGTTTCGCTTATCTTTCCTTTCAAATATCACATTCCTGCTTACTTGCTTTCAGTTTATGATTTTGGAACTTAGAACTGTTATACATCCGACCACGGAATCAAACCAGCATCCTGTCACCGATAAGCATTCGAGAGAGTGGATGTGTGAACAATATAAGATGTATAGTCCATAAATGACCTGCTGGCTGTTGAAAGTACTAGTAATTGCAGAGTATTTTGGAGCATGTTCTGTTTGCTCTTAAAGAAAATTTGTAGTTGAAAATAGGTTTGTTGAAAGATCCAGCCGATTATTGGCTATAAATTGTAAGCAGATAGCCCCTCTTGCAGTAGCTGCACATACGTGATCTGTCCAGTACGAGAATCACTGACCATAGTATCATATCCAAGCAGGTGAGTCCTGACCAAGAAACTACAGCCGCTCCATTCTGTCCTCCACCGATGCAGAATGCTTCAGATCCAACAGTTCACCTACACAATTAAAGCTGCTCCAGTTTGGTGACTCTGCATACAACACATCATGTTAAGCTATCTTATCTCTTCGGGAAAAAGGTTAAGCTACCTTATCTTGTCCAGTAGTTCCTGAACAGAAAGATTAACCCTACTGTTTAATGACATTGCAGCTTTAACTGTGATTGTAATAGAATTGTGTCCCTTGTGTCCGTTCTGTTGACTTTGGAGTACTGTTTTTGCTAAATGATAACTTTTAGATGGTTGCAAGGCTTTTGTCACTAGTGTTGTTGTCATTGTAAGATCCATGTGAACAGTTTCCAGTTCAAAACATAACTTTGTTGCATGGTAGATTTTGTACCTTCGCCAAATTGTGATATTCCCTTTATTTCAGGTCCTTCGTCCATGCATAGGAAAAAATTCTGTAATTAAAGGCTAATTGACTTACAACATCTACCATAGGTAACTGCTTGCGCAACGCACTATGTTTGTTTTTCTCTTTCCCTTCTGAAGGCCAAACACCTGTTCTTGACTAGTGTTACTTTAACTCCTTGCGAAGCATGAGGCTGCTGGATGAGTCCAGTAGATATCCCTCGCCTCCAAACTACTTACTTGACATCCTGAAATGACCACGTTTCCGCTGACATGGCATCCATGTCTCTGAATTTTGCATGGCGGAAATACTTCAACATGTGTGTGCCTGGTGCCCTGTTAGCAAAGATGTCCACGTCTCTAAGAATACATTTTGTGTTGCTACCATTATGTGCTGTATATACAGGTCGACACATGGGCCTTCGATGATAACAAACTTCAGGACCCTCTAGTGATATCTCACAAGTTATCCTGTTACCTCTCGGACCATCTTGTCTAGACAATACTTATGATCATTCCACATGAGAACCTCTTCAGGTATGACCTTGACCTTGTTAGGGGAGCTGAGAATTTATTAAAAAGTCACATTGCACTTTACAAATTACAAACGTGAGTGTCATGCTCATAATCTGAACTACGGTGCTGACAAATTCGTGATGTAAATCTGTCATAAATAATGTGTGATAACAACATCTCCAGTCACGGTTTTATGCCTATAAGGCCATGCAAAATCCACTGGACATAAGCTGTAGGGTAACATAACACTGTGATGTAATAGATATTGGCAGGCAGCCACAAAATAATAATTGGATATAAGTTGTCTTGGTTGAACTTGAAAGACTCGTTACGTCGGAAAGGGAAAAGGGAAAAGAAAAAAGTTGAAGCAAATTTAGGAAAGAAGAAGCATTGTTTCCGCTTCATCCATGAGTTCAGCTAGATATTTGAAATGCAAAGCTACTGTGGGAAATATTTTGTCAGGAACCTAGGAAAGTGATAGTCAGTAAATTAGTTGTGGAAGCATTTGGAACTACCACTATTTTTAACTTTGATTCCATTTATTAGATTTGCTATGGAGACACCCAATTTATTTTTGGGTTAATTGGATAAATGCCACTCGAATTCTGGCGATTCCGGGAAGCACCACTGCAATTTCCAAACTTTGAGAAACGCCACGGCAGACTTTGGAAAATGCCACTGGAAATGGCATTTTTTCAAGTTTGGAAATTGCAATGGCATTTCTGGGAATCGCCAGAATTCGAGTGGCATTTATCAAATTAACCCATTATTTTTCCTTGTTGCTGAAGGATCACTTTGTTAATTGGTGCTCTTGTTCTGTGCCTCCTGTATGATTGATGTACTGCTAGAATTACAGATAAGATGACAAGTGGTTAGTTGAGATTTGTGCACCATTCTCAAAAACATAACTGTTGTGTTTTGTGGATTTCTAGCATATTATGGCATCATTCTTTTTTCTTGGACATGTATCAACATGCATGCTGTTTTGTATTAGATGTACGAGAACTTGAGAAGAATGGTGAGAAGGTACAGAAGTTCACAAAATAACACCAAACAAACCAATAAACTGAAAAGGCAGCCAACCAGAGCATATACTAACAAAACCCAAAAAAACTATTGTATCAAAAAACCAAAAAGAAGAAAGCAAAACCAGGGCAATACTTATATACTCCTACAACTATAGCTGCAGGTCAGAGGGGGCTCGTATGCAGAGGCAGACTTCACTGTGTTGGCGCTGGCCATCTTTCATTGATCGATCTTCGAGCCAAATCTCCTCCATGAGGGCATAGAGGGTGCTTGGATCCAAGGGACTTATTTTAGTCTGACTAAAAATAGTCTTTTTAAGAGGCTAAAGTTCCAAGCACCCCTGACTAAAGAGAGGCTAAAACTAGTCTTGAGGCTAAATTTTTTTAGTCAGGGTACCCCTGCTAAAATGTGGATTAGTCCTCTCTCTCCTCATTTAACTCCTTTCTTTTAACACAGGCGAGTTCTGGATTGAAGGGTTTGGAGGATAATAAATGCTCATTAATTTGATTTTTGTCTCTTTAGTATTTGGATCCAAGCATGGGTGAAGCTAGCAAGTTTTAGTCCCACTACTTTTAGTCATGAGACTAAAACGTATCCAAGCACCCTCATCATTTCCTATCACTTTCGTACTAATGGCGTGCCATTGTGAATTAACGAGCTTGGATTTATTTTTGACTTTTGCTGAGGTCAAGGTCGTTCTGTTCCATCTATTCCCAATAGTTTTGGTTATTAATATCATTTCCTGTTTGCTTGTATTCAGATCTTATATTCCTTTCGTTCCAAGTATCTGCCACTTTGCTAGCAATTTGAAGCCTGGAAGCTTTACAGTTGGATTTTGAACACAGTGGAATGAGGGAGTTAACAGGACTGCCGCTGGATATCCATGTTCAGAACTGTGCATTGTCTAATTAAACAACAATCTCCGTCATATTTTCCCAATAATTTTCTGCTAAATGCACCCTTAAACTTAAATACAGTATATGCTTGTACAACTGTGAACTCTGTTAGCGATGATTAGGTCGATAGTGTTTGAATTGCATTGTTGATGGTCAGCTAGTTATATTATTTGAAAATTCTCATTTATCCTAGAGTAGTGAAGCCTTGTGCTATTGTTGTTAGCCACTGCGAACTTTATACGGAGTAGTTACCACGTCGGAGGAAAAGTTTGGATGGATTTGTTTTCTTGTTTAATTTGATTATTACTGTACTGTATATGCAATAAGCGCTAGATCCTGCAATGCAGTTCAGGCTACGTAATCTATCTGACTGGGACTTGTGGTTTGCATATAGCGTACTGACCGATATGAGGCCACATTCGTCTGTGAGTCGCTACCAGTTCAAGGACGAGCACGTACATACGCCGCACTCATACTGACTTATACCGTACACGTGCAACAGTGAGATACCGTGCTGCTACAGTATTACAAACTGAAAGGTCCCTTCCACTAATACTAAAGCCATGGAAGTCACAGAGCCCGAGCAAACTTGTCGGTGTTGAGCATTCCAAGGCCGCCATATTCTTGAGGGCGACACACCGTCTTTCAATTGACCTTGCATTCGGCACCCGTCATCTTGTCAGAGCCAGACCAGAGAGCTGTTGTATCGTTTTCTTTTCCTCTTGTCCTGGCGGCTGGAATCCTAGCCACTGTCAGGAGAGGCCAATCTTCCAGCACCGTCCTCCATCGGCTCCCCTTCGCCGGCGACCTATGTCGTTGGTGGTGAGGGGGGTCGCCAGGTCCACGCGTGTGGATCATTTTTACTCCCTCGTAGTCTAGGTTTTTAGGTTGTTCATCGTCTTGGCTTCGGCGACGATGATGACGGTGCTGAATAAAGATTCTTCAAGTCCTTCCTTGACGAGGCCATCGGTTCTATCGTTGGGGATGAATTTGGAAACCAGTCTACTCAAGCAAGGATGGCGTGGCGGTGGCATCCTCGTGGTGGACCTATGTGTCATGGGAGTAAGTCTGACAATAGAATAGGGGGTACGTAGGAGGAGGCAAGATCCCAGCTACGGTGAGGTTGTGCACGCAAGGTTTACGAGTTCAGGCCCTTCTCGGAGGAAGTAACAGCCCTATGTCTCGGTGCCCGAAGGCTTTGGTCGACTGGATTATGCTTGAGAGTTACAGGGGGTGCGAACCCTTGTGCCAGAGGAGGGGGTGGCTTATATAGAGTGCGTCAGGACCCCGGCCATCCCACGTTACACAAGGTTCAATGTATATTAAGACAGAGCATTACTGGTAACGCCAGTCATGAAGAGCTATAAATGATCTTTAAGACTACAGAGTGAACGCCTGACCGTTGCCATCCTGAGTGACTTTGGGCCTTCTGTATTCCGAGTGGTGTCTTATATGGTCGAGTGACTTTATCTTGGTCGAATGGAATTGGGATTTCCGAGTGAGGTTGGAGGTCGAGTGGATTGCACTCCTTGGTGGACTCAGTCAGTTTGTTCTGTTGTACTTTGAATGTCTTTGACTCTAGGGCAGTGTCCTTGGGTAAGGTGTCTAGGTCAGGCCTATGACCCTACCCTAGGCACATGTCATCGTCATTAGCCCCCGAATGGATTTGAGGTCCGAGTGAAGAAAGAGCTGAAGTTGACTCCGTCTCGATTCCATACTTCGGAGG